TCTGAGAATAAACTTTTAAAAGTCTACACAACATCTGCTGAAATATCCCTGCAGACATTCATACAAACTGAAACTGATAATAAAGACCTTACTTTGCCAACTGTCCTGAGCTGAACTTTGTTGTGATTTGGTGCCATATTCTGGAGCAACAGAGAACTGCTGCTCCAGAATCTTTCCTTCTCTTCAAACCCTCACCCGACTTGTGGAGCATAACCACTGACTACATTCAACATTACCCCTTCAATTTCCAACTTCAAACTGATCACCCTGTCTGACACTCTTTTCACCTCTAAAACATTCCTCACCAGCTCCTCCTTCAGGATCACTCCTACCCCATTTCTCTTTCTGTCCACACCATAATAAAACAGTTTGTATCCCCCTCCAATGCTACGCGCTTTGCTACCCTTCCACCTGGTCTCCTGCACACACAGTATATCTACCTTCTTTCTCTCCATCATGTCTGCCAGCTCTCTACTTTTCCCTGTCATTGTCCCAATGTTAGAAGTCCCTATTCTCATACCTATACTCCTGCCTTTCCTCTTTTCTCTCTGTCTACGAATCCTTCTACCTCCTCTCCTTCTTCGACCAACAGTAGTCCAATTTCTTTTTCAGAGATCCTTGCGGTGTCTGCTGTTCTTACGGTGTCTGTTGTTTAGTCCCAACTACTGTTGATATATGGGGGTTTTCCCCATTGTGGAATTAATTGGGGGAGTAATATTCTTGTTCTTGATTTCTCTCAAGTGCTATGTTTTGTCTTGTTTTTAGGTGCCTTTGATTCACAGGGATTACAAATGATTACAAACCTTTGTAATAGCATTTATTATGGCATATTATTTCTAACTTGACTTTTTGACATCATAAGAGAATTACAGTAAAGGTGCAGACAGTTACTGCCTCACACAGAGAAAAGCTGCCTCCCATATGAGAACAAACTTCCTGATCTGATGCTTGAGTCAGTTTCTCCCTCCCTTAAGATAACATTTACTCTAAAAGTGCAGTAAACACAGGAAGTTCACTTATTGAAGCAGCAACACAGGAAACTTTACTAAATCCAGGATGTTGAAAGATAAGTTATTCCACAGTTGCTTTATCAAATTTGATAACTACTTTACCTAATACTAATAAACCTACTAATACTTTTATGAAGCAATTCATGAAGCAACTCTTCCTTCCATATACTCTGACCTGTGTTTCTGAACCTCTCCTTTTTTTCTGTCTTCCCTCTTTGTGCAACATCAAGGTTTAAGGAAGTTTCCCTGCCCAGTGTTACACATTACTATGTCTCCTTTTCTGAGACTGAAATGCATTTGGTATTTATACATAATATCATATTATCTCTATTTTACGTTCAACACCAGTAAAACTGTTATGGGATGCTGGCCTTTGTCTCTTTTGTCATTTTTAAGATAAGTTATTCCTTAGTTTCTTTATCAAATTTGATAACTGCTTTACCTAATACTAATAAATCTAATAAACTTGCTAATAATTTTGTTATGAAGCAGTTCATGATATCTGCTCTGCAAAGATGCCAGCCATAATAAACACAGTTAAATCAGTTCAACAACGGCTCTGATACAATATCTATAATCCCTGTAGTTCTGGGCCCTCTGAACCACCGATACCCCAACTATGCCAAAATACGTTATCCTGTCCTCCTCATGCACTTTTCTCCAGCTTACTCCACCTTATCAGCAACAGTGATGCCAGGGATTTGGATAGTTCAAAAAATATTTATAAGGTAAATGCTGTTTTCCCTCTTTATCTTTTGTTCTCCT